CACGCCTAGCTTGCAATCATGAGGTCGCCGGTTCGAACCCGAGTAGAGGCGGTCGTCCTCGCGGTATAACCAGCCCGCGCGCAAATGGTGGTGGCCGCGCAGCAGCGAAGCGCAGTTACGGCGTAAAGCTGACGATCATTATATTTAGACAACCTATTCTTATCTCCCCTACTGATAAGCCTTACGTCATTCGTAAAAACATAAAAGGGTTCTCAAGGAGTGGAGCTAAATCATGTATAAAAATAAGAACCAACAACGGCCCTAACACTGGACCCTGGGGAACCCCGCTATGAGCAGCGCCCATGCTAGATCTAGTCTCGCCAATACTGACACCGATAATAAAGTCATCAGTTGGGGATGCAACCCAAACTAAGTCAGCTTCTCTAGTAAAAAACGATTAACCGAGTCAAATGCATTACTGAAGTCTAGATGGCATACCTCGGCTGGAATCCCCATATAGAGGTATCGAGTTATTTCGCCAAAGAAATACGACAGGTTTATAAGACATGACTATTTTCTAACGAAGCCATGCTGTTCCGCTCCAATCAAGTGGTTAGTAGGTAAGTGCGCACAAATTCGGTGCTTAGTAAGTTTCTCCAGACACTTAAGCCAGGTCTAATACGTCTGGCCGTCAAGAGGATACAAAGTTGCTCAGATCGCGCTTGTTCAGCAGATGTTAGCAAATGTTACACGCAAGCCGCTGTAGGAAACGTTGGCCATGCTTGAAGCATCAGAAATCCGTTAATCCAGATTTGCGGAGGAATCCGGACCACTAGCCAAAATTGTACAATACGGAGATGTTTCTACACCGCCCCTGCATCGCTTTAATTCAGAAACGCGGGCCCAGCTGGCATTAGAACCCGGATCCACTCGTCTCCGAAGTGAGCATCACATTCCTAGTTGACGTACTTCACGGGATGATTTCCATCTTCCTAGAAAAGACAAAGAACAGACATTCTCCAGTAAGCGGGTAATAACCATCGCAATGAGACTGGACCTTACCGTGATGCGATGGTTTGTGTGCTTTAGTGATTTATTAAGCTATGGTAGGTGGTGCCTTTGCACCTTCAGAACCACTTCTACCAGACTGCTCAACGGTTAGAGGCCAGAAAAACTCAGTCTCCTGGTCCTCCAGGTTGGGGGTGGGATGAGGGTGGCCCCTTATTCCTTAAAACGGACTCCTTGTAGCCCAACGGCAAACCCGCTACCTTGCAGTTAGATTTTTGAACCAAAGGCTTTGGTTGAGAAACCTAATCGTTCTCCGATCTATGCCTGGGCAACCTGACAGTATCCTGTCCATGCAATATAATGAATCTCTCGTCAAACAAATTCCTGATAGCCAGGCCACCGCAGAGGATAAGCAACGGTGCCCTGTCTGTTGCATCGAGCGGGGTAGATAGGGGTTTGAATGCTACTGCTCAAGCCTTCCCGTCTTCTTACTCCCGTTCTTAAGCTATTTCTCCTTTATGGTCCCGTTCCAATCCACTTTTATCCCAGCAGTTTTCAAGCTCTCGATTTTTGGATCTCCTCCAATATACTTTGCTAGGCGTATATCTTCTAGTTTCAACTCACATGCAAACGCGGAGCGTTACTCCTGTGCTGTCGACAAGCCCATGTCCAACCAAGTGGTCCACCCCAGTTCATCGGCTTCCATTTGGAGCCATCGATCCTCCTTCAGATTGGCATGCCTCAATGTACGCACATTGCTACAGATCGGTCAAAAGGCAGCACTTGCCCGAATTTTAGAGACCCTCTCCGTCGATATTTGCTGTTTATCGGAGACGCGCCTGCAAGATTCGAGCTCTCTGCTCACTCTGCGATCCCCTTCCGGTGACGTAAGCATTAGTTTCTCATTGCGCCTATCCGGTGACGATGCAGCTTCAAGCACCGGCCAAGCTGGTGTTGGCTTTGCCCTGAGTCCCGGGTTGAAGCTGCTCTGATTGTTTGGATCACAATCAGTAGCCGGATGGGTGCGGTCGGATTGGCTGGCTCGTTCAAAGCTTTGAAGTTGTGCGGGACTACTAGGTGTCATTGTCATCGTTGCCTAGGCGCCCACGAACTGTAGTGATGATTCGGTAAAAAACGACTTCTACCGCCAACTGACTGAGCTCTTTTGCCACAGAAGAAGCACGGACACTTGTGCTCGCGGATGATCTGAACGCACAAGTTAGAAAGATCACTGATGAAATGCAACTTGGCAGTCAGCACGGTGTAGGCTCCCGTAATGTTAACGGTGAGCGGTTACTTCATTTGTGTGAAGATGCACGCTTATTTCCTGCGAGCACTAAATTCCGACAAAGCACCCGTCGCAGGATGACTTGGCGCACAGCAGCATCGAACCAGCCTTGGACGCAAATTGATCACACTGCAAGCAGTTACCACTGGAGAGGCTGCATCCAGAATTGTCGCTCGATTTGGAGCACAAGTGTGGACACCGACCATGCACTTGTAGGTGCTAACTTCTGGCCGACGCCCACGATAACGCTGTGAGCGCATTGACGCCAGCCAACTGTTCTGAATACCTATCAAAGTACGTTTACCTGCGAGTTGAGTAAGCGCTCGTTGGAAAGAATTGAAGGGCACTGGCCACATGTTCAGCAGACCGTACTAACAGCAGGCAAATCCTCATAAGTCTAATAGCCAACATGGACATTGGGTCTCTTCGCGGTCTCTGGGACTTATCGATGCCCGCCGGCATATTCCGGTTGGAAGCGAACACAACGAAATTCGCAAAGAGCTTAGGGCAAAACTCCGTGCTAGCCTGAAGAGAGCGCGAATCCTGGTGATCTCTTCGTGCGTCAGATGAAAGTAGCCGTCGCCCTAGGTAACCATCAAAAATTATTCCCTCTGATACGGGAAACGGGCAGCAGGAGACTTGGTGTTAGTGAAACAATTAGTGGCGACAGTGGACAGCATAACCACAACTCGTCTAAAGGTTTGGAGTGTTGGGCTGAGCATGTAATCGGCCGGAATTATTCTATTCCTCACCGGCTACTGATCGTCCTGTTCCGTGGGCTGTCCCTTTGGATCCGCTCTCTCGCGCAGAAGTCCAACGTAAAATCGGACTGTTGAAGTTGTACAAAGCCGCGGGACCAGACAATCTTCCTCCAGCCCTCTTCAAATTCGGGACCCTGCTCCGGTTGATGATTTACACGAATTACTAGCAAAACCGTGGGAGCAGTAAACCGTCCGTACCGACTGGAGCCGCTCCGTTATTGTTCCCAACGATCAATGAGGCACGCGTGCGGAATGCGGCAACCATGGAGAAATCAGTCTGATCCCCATCGCCTTCAAATTACTTGCCTCTGTAATCCCTCACAGACTGACTGGCGCTTCGTGAGGAGCAAGCCGGGTTTCGTCGGGGTAGTGGCTGCATGGACCACAGCTTCACTTTGCGTCAGTTGTTGGAGCACCGTCATACATACGGCCCACGGTTGTCGTGTTGCTCGACATCAAAGGGGGCTTCGACTCGGTTGATCGAAGTGCCCTTTGAGACTGTACTCAGGAAAGGTGTACCCGAGAAGTATGTAAATATTATCCGAGCATTATAGACGCGTAGCACGGGCAGAGTGAGGGCTTACGGCAAGCTGTCTTTGCCCTTTAATATCTCCAGTGGTGTGAGACAAGGATGCTCGTTGTCACTCCTCTTCAACTTCGCTATTGACGAAGTCATGGAAATTGCATTTACAGGACAGGACTTAGGTGTGGAGCTACTCCCAAGAGAACGACTTCTTGTCTTGGAGTATGCGGACGACATTGCCCTTATCTGTGACAGCTCACAGACGTGCCAAGCTGCACTGTCCAGATTAGCACTGGCTGTCAGTCGCTTCGGGGTTTGTTTTGCACCATCGAAGTGCAAAGCTTTCCTCCAAGATTGACAGGGATTGCCTCCTTCGTTGACCCTTGGTGGGGATCAACTGGAAGTCTTTCAGAAGTTCAACTACCTGGGAAGTTGTATCAGCGTCCTTGAGATCGAAGATGAGATCACGAACCGTATAGCAAAAGTTCGAAGTGCATTTGCTAGTCTTCGCCACCTATGGCGGCGGCGCGACATCACTCGTGCCCTGAAGGGTAGAGTGTACAATGCAGCGGTACGAAACCTGGTTCCTTAGATCAGCGGACATAAAGAGGCTAATTAAATTCGACCATCGGTGCCTTCGCAGTTTGGCTCACATCTCGTGGGAACACTGCGTGAGCAACGAGCGTGTTCGACGCCTTGTTTACGGCACAGGAAAAGGAACTGAACCGTTCAGCAATGACACTTCATACACCAGGCTCCGATGGTACGGTCACGTGTTGCGCAGGCCAGCCAAACGACTTCCGCGACGTGCGTTGTTTGCTTGCCGGGCGTGTGGAGGGAAGAAGAGGGGTGGCCAAGCGATCTTGGTCAAGAGGAATAAAGGCTCGGTTGGAGCTTCACAGCTCCCTGGTTGTGGTCTAAAAGAGGATGAACACATTTAGTTAGATACGCTTGATGACATGGCTAGGAGCCGACCACATTGGCGTTCCTGCTGTGTTTCCCTGTCCCTCCCCAACCCTTTTAGCCTCTCCTTCCAACCACGCTCCCAGTACTTAGCCTCATACAAGTTTGCATAGTAAAATTTTCTGCATAGTAGCTGGCTGGTAGCTTACCGGAACGATGCCCATCCGTTACCGTTAACTCAGCTGGCTTGCACCTGTTGCATTTTCCCCTTCGTTCTTTTATGTGCTGCGGTACAGTAGCTGAGGTGCTTTAGACCTCAAGCTAACGTGTAGAATGAATGAATGTATATGAAGCGGGTAATAAGCGACGAGCTAAACAACCATCTTAACAACTAATCGTGAGAAACCAATATCTCCAATTTCGGATAGCATAGGCAAACCGAAACACCATGTGTTGCACCATGTATACGGTTCCGTATGTAAAACTGCAAACAAGGTGTCAAATAAACTGCTAAGCAATTGACTAATAATACGGCCCACAATTAAAAAGCGATTGCGCTAGGACAGATGAAACTTACCGATAGCCATGGCAATTCCTGTAGCTCGATGGAGAAATGAAAAACGCATAACAGCAGGAGGAGAATATATTTGCAAGTGTGGAGACCAAGGGCGCTTTTCATTAATGTTTTTCTCCCAAAAATGTTGCATTTCCCTCTCAGCTTGTTGCCTAACCTGTTCACTGGAGCTTCCTTTGCCTGCCTTGAGTGTGTGGAACACACCGCTACGCCTCAGAAACTTTTCACTTTTGTAGCTAACACCAGAATGAAGGCATCGTGGAAACCCAAGGAGTACCCGCCGAGTACAAGGGATATGGAGAGAGTAGAACAACGGCATCAGTCGCGGACTGCAGCACTCACAGAGAAGACACCAGTGAGCTGCAAGTTCGAGGACAGCAGAACACAGGACAAAGATCCAATTTCCTAAATCATATAGGTCATAAAGAAAATAAATTGGAGCATGCAGTACCAGTCAGATGAAAGCACATGGCATGAAGTGGAAGACTTTAAAGCTGCAGACCAAAGGCGTCAAGTCGATGTCCTGTGTCAACCCAAACGACTTTCTGAAAGCAAGAAAACTGCGGCAAAATCGCCCCAGTTCAATTTTACTGCAAGCAAAACCACCAGTCGTAATAGACTTTGGCAAACCTAATTACCTGCTCCGTCCCCAAACATCTACAAGCGCTTTCGCTAGGCTCGAAATACTTGTAGTCTGTATCTTCTAGGAGATCAAGTTCAAAATGGAGTTCAGCTTGCAGCCACAGCTTTGGCTAAATGCAAAGCGCCCTTTCGCTTAGGTGCAGTGAAGAAGCAACAGAAGCTCATCCGTCCCGGTGTTCTTCTCTCTGATGGCTCTGCTACTGCCCCAGATTAAAACAAACCTGGTTCTATCGGAGAACCGTTTACAGGAGCGGAGGAGCGGTCATTCAGGGGTAAAACAGGCTTTGGCTTAACAAGCCTCCCGCTTTGTGTGACAGTAAGCGACAAAGAGCCCCTAGCAGTTTGATTGTATGGAACATCCTTGATTCCATTATGGAGAATAAATGAAACCATGGCAGCAAAACCAATGCTCGTTCCTGAAGCCATGAAGTTTGTGGTAGACGCCGAATCTTAAATAAAGGTTAGGAACATGGTCAACTAATGTTTGTCTTTACATTTTCGCATCCCAATAAAGCAACGGGCAGTTTAGTCCCTCTAGGCACAACCCAGTTTGCGACCGACCTGTTTCGTAAATCTAGCCTAGATCTACGCTGCTTCCATTTCATTGAATGGCCCGCAAATTGTCTGATGTAGCTGGTTCAGACAGCTCGGTGTGTTTGAAACCCGAAAAGCCTTCATGATTTTGAAAGTCTCTACGAAGTCAGCTTACGCGCTGCGTCTCATCAATGCACACAATCCGAAGTTGGCCAAGTAAGATTCAAAGGATAACCCACGTTATGCTTCTATCTTTCAGGCGGCCAAACATTGCACGTTATTAATACAACTAATATCGTGCTGCAAGTAGGGTAACCAGACGTGAGCACAGTACACCAGATCTGGTCTGACCAAAGCTTTGAATAGGGGGGAACTTCTAAAGCTTGGTACAAACCGGAGCCACCCTAAGACGAACCAACTAGTCACGCTATAGTAGCCCAATGCCCACACTGCGTCAAGGGTTAAAGTCACTCGTCACAAGGACACCTATATCGTGAACCACGGTGACCCGCTGCGGTGTTATGGAACCACTAAATATAGGCAGGACAACGGCTTCAGTAAGTGATGGTAGGAGTTGACATTTGCTGGTGTTCTGTGGTACATCCTACAAATTTGACTAATGAAACACGTTAGAGAAGCCTGTAGATAGCGAAGTCCCGCCGCCCCTGATAACAAGCTGCAAGTCGTCAGCAAAGATATAGTAGGAGTCTTCAAGTATGGGGACCACGTCATTGATAAACATGAGGAATAGCAACGGACCGAGTACCGATCCCTGGGGAATCCATTATGCGCAGTACCGGTGCTCGAAGCAACCTCCCAGACACGGTCACGAAGTTCTACCGTAATGTACTGCAGACAGCAAAGCAAGCGGCGGGGATGGATAAATTGCCAGGTCCATTTGATAACAAAAGGCGATGAAGCACAAATCGAAAGCTTTACTGAAGTCAAAATAACGTAATTTTAATGGTATACCCTTGGTTAGTCGAACAACACAGCAGGTTGCCAAGGCATATCTTTTCTTGACGAGGCCATGCTCTTCCGCTCATAACAAGTAAGTGGCATCCAGCTTTTCAAGTATGTGCCTCCTTACGATATTCTCTAGACTCCTGGGAAGAACACTAGTCAGCATAACATGCCTATTATTTTTGGGTGTACCCCAAGTACCGCCATTAGGTATTGCCACTACAACCGGTTCCTACCAATCTTGATGTATCCACTCCACCTGCTTAGACGTGTCGTGCAACAAAAGTTTGGGAAACCTGAGTATGACGACAACCGGCTTGACAAAGCAGGATGCACAGGTTCGGGACCAGGTGAACTACATGGGTTTCACACTTTCAGTATAGAGAAAGCACCTGAAGTAGTCGAGATGATTTCTTCTACTTTGCACTGGCTCACGCGATGCGACGGCTTGTTAGAAAACAAACAGCCACTAGGGCTTAAGCAAGCTTTTCCTTAGCCCGTTGTCCACCTGTGAGTACATTGTCTACTACTGAACTTGTAGATGCATTTGACTAGGCGTAGCTGTACTAACTATTCGGTTACGTTTTGTGTTTTCCACGAGCATAACCTCACAGGCGTGTTTGGTCAGCCACTAGGTTTACTGCCCAATTTCCGCCTCCGTTGTAATTAAACCCCCGCGGATAAAAATTCCTGAACATCTTTTCATTAAATATACCGCCCTTGCAACGCCCGAAGAATAAGCTGATGCTACCTGCTAACCTTATCCGTGGGGCGCGTTTTGCACAGGGGATGGAAACACTCTAACCGCTGCGCGAGGCCAATTTGATCACGTACAACCTCTGTAGCCGCATCGCCGTCTCCTAATCGGGCACCCAGGTAATGTGTGCGGCACCATCCAAAAAAGGCGTGGTGTTAATCCGGTTTGTATGCCGCATAAATGGTCACTTTCTGCTGGAAATGGAAACAACGAGATGATCGCTCGTAACTAAAGCGGCTCAGCTTTGATAGGTAGAAAGCAACCATACTTGGTGACCACAGCATCTACACTTCTAACAGGCTACTTCGTGTGTAGTGTTAATAACTGGGCATGTTAAGCAAGCAAAGCAAATGTTGTTCATTCAAATTGACGCGCGCATCATTTCATTATCTCCCTGAGGGGCTACATGCACGCAATAGCTATGACACCCGCATTGGCCTTGGGACATAGCCCGGGGGTCTCCCTGGGTGTAAGCACTAAGCTAGACGTAAGCGTCTATAAGGGCCGGGTGGGCTACCGACTAGGCTAACATATTAGCGTTTTCGAAAGGCAGACAGGGATGTGCTTGGCGGTGCTGGAGATCACCCACACTAGGCCTGAGTTTGGCTGCTCAACCTTGGATGAGGTGTTTTTACGTTCTACCTCAGCTTTAGTTGGAAGGCGATACCTTTGAGTCGTATCCTGGTCCGATCGGGAATCGTTGTCCCTGTGCCAACTTTGTAGCGTTTGTCTGAGTAGTCTGTAACGCATCAACCCCGAACTAAGTGATCGGTTCAAGATGCACTGTACCCGTGGAATATATAAGCTCTGGGATAGCATTGCCTCTGGTCGAAAAATTATACCGCGTCAAGCTAATAATAATAATAACATTAATAAAAACGAGCCCATTTCTCATCAAGTGAATAGCTGCAACAGTATTTGACATAAGACATACACGCACATGTGTTATACTCTTGCAAGAGAGATATCCTGTTATATTCTTATATATTTCTACATTCTTGGCAAGGTAGTTGCCACACATTTTTGTCTTACTCGATGGCAGAAGGCAAAATTAAAGTTTGATGTTGTAAACACTGCGGAATAAGCACATTGCGTGAAGTGGGGGTATTCCACCCACTAAACCTTGTCTTGGTGTGCACTGAACGCATGTTCAAATTGGCTTCTTCATGAAGCAAAGGACAATGAAGTCCAGGTAATGGTAACTTTACAGCTTACTGCCAAAGGATTTGCAACTTGTCACACGATCGGATGGAGAATGACATCCAATACCACAGAAAATGAAATATGGTGAAACGAAAGCTGAATGCTCCACCGGTGCTGAATGGAGTGGACCGGTTCAGTGATAATTGAAAGACATTTGGTTGTTCTTTGACGGAGCAATCATAACAGACCTGATAATATATAGTTTTTGCGGAGCGTTGCTTCATATAAATGTGTTCACTCCATCAATTGTACGTGCCTGCGTTCGGAGATAAGTCCGTACATTTGTAGAATCATTGTAAAAGCTTTTATCCGTTTCAGCGCGCGTACGTTTTGCTGTATTGTTGACCCAGCAAACGTCCGCTACAAATTTGCCAACGTCAATGATCTGTTTTACTTGTGCAGCCAAAACAGGCACGGCTTACTGAAAATAAGGGTAAAAGTTCTCCATGGCGGTGAAGGCATTCCAGTCGCAGGACCGTGGTATTTGACGGCAGGGGTACCAGGTAATGCCGCGGTTGGTGCAGTAGGAATGAGCTACTTGCTTGGTGGTCGGTTTAGCGCTAAAGGTTAAGAGTATCAGTATGTAGTCTCTACCAGGTATGTTCTCATAAAGTCTCTGTGCGTTGGCCATACTAATTATGAAAATCATGTCCACTGTGTTCGCCAATGTAGTTGCTATAGTAACACGCCGTGACCAACCAAAACTAACTGAGTATATGAAGGCACTGTATGTGGACACGCAGCTCAGTGAAGACCATTGTATCCTCGGTGAGTTGAAATCTTCCCCAAGTATCCATTAGCTGTGTGTCAACGCCGATGCAAACTCAAAAGCAGCGGTGATACAGACAACCTTCTTGGTTGATGAATCTGGCACGTTTCTGCTAGATGCAAGCAAACCGAAGATCCGGTGATGGAGAACCAGAGGGAATCAGGGTAATTGCAGTGGTGGATGTTCATACGGTTGAGCTGTATATGCATGATTACGTTACTTGAAGCATCCACCACGTTCTCTTTGACAGCGACCTTTACGCGAGAGGTACTAAGCTGGCTTGAGTAGATTACAGCCTAATATATCAGCTGGGTAACACATTTCGGCAACGAGGATTGTTTGCAGCTGGTTTAAATGTGCAGCCATGCGTAGAAAATATCATTTTTGATAATCCCTCTAGCATTAAGCAAACGCAAGGTGTAGATCCCACAAATGGTCGAAACAGTGTTCACGTCACAGTTGGGT